TGCTCCAGGAGAAGCAGAATTAATCTGCTATGCACTTTTTAGTATAAGCATACAGTTTAGATGCTCATGAGCAATACAACGCTAATTCGGAGTTTCAGAACAATGTGCAGTTAGGTCAGGAGCTAGCGAATAAGATTCGAAAAGTCTGTGTGATTATGTAGGAGGTTATATCAAAATTACGTACGGCCTAAGCTGAAGAAAGTGTAGGGAAGGAAGGAGAGGAGATTCACATAATCCGATATACATAGCCATTCCACTTTAAACTTTAAGAAATGTATCTGGTGGGGATGTCGCAAACAAAGAAATGACAATTTTGACTGATGAAGAGATGGGAGACCAGAGATTGCTGAAAAGCTAATCTTACAAGCTACGAACTTTAAACACACACACACATATATATATATATATATTTATATATATGTATATAAAAAATAGCTTCATAATGCGAATCTGCCGTCGTCTTGTGATATCGTGATACGAAGCTCTTTATCAGACATTTCATGCAAAATGAAATCCAACACAGCAATGCTATCTGAGCAGATTCTCCTAGACCCAGTTACTCTTCGTATATATTTATACCATAGAAACACTTGGTTTAATTATTTTAATGAGTTAAGTTTCAAAAATTATCCGGCTAGCCAATTTCTACGTTTACCATGAGACTGCTTGGAAATTAAAAAGTACCAAATGATTTAGATAGTCTATTCATGTGTACATTTTGTATCAGCTAATATGTGTACTGGTTTTTTTTAAAATAATGGTTGTTCATCTCTTTTTTATATTAATCCAAATACTTACATTTATTTTGTGTGTTTATGCTTGCATCTATATGTGTACTAGTAATTGCCAGTGGGCTTAACGTCAGTCCTGGGTCACCAAGGTTTAATGATCCAATGAACAACATTAGTGAGATTTCGAAATCTGTATGTCTGGTTGAGTTGGCTAGCTTAACAGAATTTTTGGATGAATGCGAATGCTGGCCCGTATTAGTCTCACCAATTTAGTCTGTTGCTCAACACTTTTGTTCAACTTCCTAGTTCCATTTTTTGCATTTTATAGATTCCCTAATCTCTTAGTTTCAACATTTTCTATTCCTTTTTGTATAGTTGTAGACATACCATAATCAGTCGGCCAATGCGTTCGTAAACATTCTTTTGTTTCCGACCTGCGTTTGGATACTTTTGATCATTTGACTTGGCTGTTTCTGTATGCGGTTTGGTGTTAAGCTAATCTTTTAATAAATACGATATCAAAAAACTGGAGATGGCCATATGAACATGGAAGCTTTACAATACATTTCTATACGAGAATGCATCTCCAAAGGTACCTATTTTCAAGGAATTCAATATTTAGAAATGGCTTAAATGACAAAAATCGAAAGTTCTAGAACTTTGAATAGTTATTGCATGTAATTAAATTTTATCTGAATTTATTGTTCAAACCAAGTTGATAAAGTTATTTCGAATGTTGCCACATGTGCTTCTAATAAAAGTTGATTGAATTATGTTGGTCTTTAACTATTAATAATTGGTTCATACTAAATTAATATGCTAAAAAAGTACATAAATTATTGACAAACAATGTCATGGCATCTTTGTGAGACAGTATAAGGCGAAATTATCGTTCTGAGTGAAGGAAAACTCACAAGGAACCAAGTAACAGCGACATTAAAAGTTTATAGTCGAGCAGTACAACGAATGCCGGATAGATTTTCGCAAGTTCATTTTCATTGAAAGCAAACCAAGCAAACCCTAAATGGTCGCCAGCTTTGAAGAACAGTGTATCAGGCCGACCTCGTTACAAGACGTCGCAACATCTGATTTGACGAGTCCAAGTGGGCTGAGCAAAGAATGCTCCTTTCCAGTTAGTGAAAACACGGTTAAAAGACGACTGACAAACTACAGTCTTCATGGACTTCCTTCCAACAATGCAATTTTGGTATTGTTTGGCCCATGATAAATGTGTACCTTGGTTTAGCTTTCGAAGAAGTCATTTGAAATCTGCTACTCTTCTCCGAAGGCCTCAGCTTGCCAGACGTCTTTTGACTCTTCTTTTGCTAACTGAGATAGGGAGTTCTTTGTTGAGTTGCCTTGGCAACTTGGATGTAGATACTATTCTGTCCGGTAATGCAATTAACTTGATGTACTGAGCCATAGATGTTGCGATCCTTTTAGGTCTACCCGGTCTCCATGTTGATCAAAGAGAAGCATGCAGCTCTTCTGGCTTGACGTTGCGGGAAAGGGGTTCCACTTTCAGCAGGACAATTTTCCTAAACATGCATCAAAGCTGTGCCAGGCCTATGTGAAGTCGAAGTAATAGTCGGCTCTCAATCCTGCACAGCCAACTGACTTAGGGCTCACTGAACAAATTTGGGAACAATTGGAAAAGGAAAGGATGGAACGTGTTGTTTCACCACAAAACAATATCGGGAATTCGCTAAATGATGGCTGCAATATGATGGACTCGCAAATTCTGCGAAAACTGGCGGAATTGAGGCCCGAAAGAGGGCGATCTTTGCTAAAGGCAAGCGGTGGTCATACCAAATAGTGAGGAATTTTGACTATCAGTAAATAGGAACAACCCT